GCACATTAATTGCGCCTTGTTGGGCCCTAAAACTTGGATCGTTACAATTCTCTCCCACTAATGAGGAATTCACCTCTGAATTCGGCTCATGATCTAATTTTCCAATACCATCCTGAAAAAGCTCTGAATAATCAATCCTCATTTGAGTCTCGGTCTCCTAGGTCTCTTCCTGGATTCCATCTCTCTCCCAACGAACTTGACCATCATGGTCATCATCCCTTGAACAGCTTTCACTTGCCGCTCCAAAATCTTAACTGGCTGAATCGGTGCAGGCAAATTTTTACCATGACGTCTGCTGAAAAATGAGCTATGGCTCTCTCACGCCTTCCTCAATACTGACACATGTCATGAAAGTCTGACAACTCAGCTGATAACTGGAATCTGTAAGCCACTGTTCTAATCTGCTTCACAATGGGAAATGGTTCCATATGTCTCGGCTTAAGCTTCTGAGTCTTAGATCCTCTCTAAAATATTCTTATTTTCAGGTATATTAATCAGCCCACCTAAAAATCCAAATCCATATGATGTTTATCTGCATAACTCTTATGACGGTCATGGGCTAGCTTAAGTCGAATCGTGAGCATCTAAACCGTCTCTTGAACCATTGCTGGTTCGATGACACCTCGCTTTCCTCCACTTATATCCAACAAAATGGTGTATGACAAGACCTACCTTGAAGAGCCTCATATGGTGCCATCTTAATACTTGAATGATAGGTGATGTTGTAGGTAAACTCTGCTAGAGATAAATACTTTTCCCAGCTCCCTTCCCAATCCAAAACACAAGTCCTAAGCCTATCTTTTAAATTCTGAATAGTCCTCTCTAACTGTACATCTGTCTGCAGGTGATAAGCTATATTCATGTATAATTTTGTCCTAAGCGCTTTCTGAAAAACTCAAACATATGTGAACTTTGTGTCCTGATCAGATACAATACTGGCAAGAACTCCATGCAACGTTACAATCTCTCATGTAAATTTGTATCAACTGGTTAGTTGTGTTCGTCTTCTTAATCGCTAGGATATGAGTAGACTTGGTGAGTCTATCCACAATCACCAAAATAACTTTCCTCCCACCATAGGTTATCGGGAGTCCAATCATAAAATCTATAGTCACCATCAAGCCCTCTCTTCTCCGAATAGATGCAGCCATAATTCTGACATTGAGCTCTCTCTTCTCCGAATAGATGCAGCCAGAATTTTGACAATGAGCTCTCTCATCTCTTCCTTTTCTCATTGTTGTTGTTTTTGAGAGTCGGTTTTGGATCCAAGAGCCTTAAAATTTCTGATTCATGTCATCTTGCTCCACCTTTTCTTGTTTATAAGAATCATGGTCAGCCAAAAACCCAAATGAGCTATTAGATTATGATAATGTTTAGTTATTACTTGAAAGATGTGTGCTTAGCTTTATTAAATCAATGATTTGTGTTTCATCTCTACCAATAGTTGGTATATGAGCTCGGTTCTTGAGAAACTGTATGCATATGACAAACCTTTCTTAGTAGATTTTCTTTGAGTGTTGGTTTCCTTAGTCGCATGTGGAGATCAATTCAATGAGACGTTATGTTTCTTGCATTGTTCTGTGTACTATAGTATAGTTCATATAAGTTGTATCTACCAGTATCGTTCTTGGATCTTGACGATAATATGATTATGCTATGTGTTAACGATGAAGACACTTTACTTATTTCAAGCATGTAATAGTTGTTTAATTTTTGGAACAATTTTTACTAGTTATATTTAAATAGCCTTTCTTTACTGTTTTTGAAGGGGATGAGACTGAATCTTATTAAGTTGCTTGGCATTATGAATCCAGAATACTGGCATTTAGTTCCATAAGGTTGAACTTGGTATGCTCTAAATTCTTAATGATGCATTCTTATTAAGTGTTATGTTTCTACTCTTTTTTTTGTTGTTGTTTGTCTTGATTAGCTTTTAAGCTCACTTCTGATATTTGATGTTTTATGATCTAGTCTGTTGATGGGTGTGCATGTGCTACTAGGTTTTCTCTACTTACTGCATTTGTCTTTGGTGTGCCATGGTAGGTTGATATATGCTTTACTTTTTTGGGTTGGAATAGAGTGGACTAATGAGATTTTTTATGGGGAGCTGTTGAATGATATGAACACTTTGGGTGATGAGATGTTGAATACACTGAAACTGGCTTTGCATTTTGTTGATTCTACACCGTCAGCAAGACCTGAAACTCAACAAGTTATGACATAATTTAGAGAGATTAGGCCTGAATAGAGTGGGCATATGAACCGTTGATTGATGTTTCTGAAGCTGTTTATGTTTCCATAATTCAACAGAAAAGGGTGGAGACTTTTGGTAATATAGATTTTGTTTTTGCAATTCTTTAACTCTTCAAGTAGTTATGAATTTTTGGCCATTTCATCTTTAATTTGCGTCTGTAGATAGGCTATACTTCTCTTTCATCAAACATAGTAGAAATAGATTGAATGCATACAAAGTTGTCAATTCATATGCATATAACGATGCAAAGAAGCTTAATCGATTAATTTTAATATTTCAGATACTTGACAATGAATGTTTACAGATGATTGTATAAATGAGAAAGAATATAACAATATAGTGGTTGGCTATTCTTCTCTAGATAAAACAACAAAATAAAGATTAGAGATAAACAATTAGTGTCTTGTATCAACTGTAATGATTTTTTTTTATATCTCTTGTTGGACCATTTCAAATTTAAGTTACAACTTTATCAGTAGATAAAACTAGGATTTAAATTAATTGAGTTGATATTGTTGTACGTAGTATTTATCGGGACTACACCTTTTTTCTGCAACCAAAACATCTGCACACTGCTTTTAGTTTCCTTTTTGAGTATGGTTTTCTGAAACGAACTCCGCAGTTGCCTTTGTTATAAGCACCACCATATGCAATCTTGTTTGCATAAAGAATCCAAGCACTCCTTAACATTATATACGATTAGACCTTCTCTACATGAAAATTCATGAGAATTTCCTCTTAATATTTTTACTGAATTTTGATCAAATAATAAGAAACATTCAGTCTATTTGATTACATATATATACAGAATAAAGTTTAGATGGATAAAGAAACTAATTTAAAACCCAAAAAAATTAGTAATTTATCAAGTTTTGTACTGATTAAATATTAATTTATGAATTTAACTGTATATATGTTTTAATTACATTTTATAGTAAATGATTTATAAATTAACAAAAAAAAAATTGATTATCTTTATGTTTACAAGTTTAAAATATATTCTTAAACAATATATTAAATCCTTTAAACCAAGAATAGTTATAATTTATAATATATATATATATATATATATATATATATATATATATATATATATATATGTGTGTGTGTAATTCAAAGGGCAAAAAATAAATCATGTCCCAATTTTGCCTTCATCTAACAAAATTTTGAAAAGGTAGATTTAAGATTACGTTTTTTTTTTAATAATACTATTGAGTCTAACACTAATCAAAATCTAATAATGACATTTCAACAAGATCCATATATCAAAATGTATCAGACTCTCAAAATTAAAAAGATCACCTAATAAGTGATAGATCTAGTGGGAGTTATACCTTTAACCATTTTCACTTCAGATTCTTCTTGATAGAATGCTCTAAATATGTATACAAATATATAAAGATTTTTTTTTGTTCAAAAAAAAATATATATATATAAAGATTTGTTTTATAAAACTAGAATAAATTTTAATTATTACCCACAAAAACCTTATAGACTAGTTGGAAGGAACAAAAAAATAGAAATTTAACGACCATATAATTTCCATTAGTTTCTATAATTATTATTTATATTTCTTTAATTTTCACATACATGATGAAAAACTTAGATGGGTGAAGACTACTTAAAATTAATTAATGTAATTGTTTATAAAGTTCAGTGCACTACATTCGTTAAGAATGGTGGGTGGATGTTATTGTTTTTATTTGTTAATCTTTTCGTAACAACTATTAAATATGGTTCCATTTACTTACTATGTTAAGCAGAAGAAAAAAGTTAACACTCTTCCTATATCTTTTTCAGCTTAATTTGCATATTAATTTATTATATCGATTTGCATATTATTGTTGGACTAATAATTTATCATTGACCAAAAAAAAAACCAAAAGTAAAAGAATCGAGAATCTTCCAAACGTCAGAAAAAAAAATTGAATGGCAAATAGAAGCTAGTCTCATAATATACTGGCAAACAAAATTATGTATAGTTTGTAACTAAACAGACATGATAACTACTAGTAGGAGTAGCTATCATCAGTATTTTTTTTCTTGAAAGATTAACAAATAAATTAAATTTAATTAATAAAAAAGAGTACTTAATTAAATGTAAATTATTGTTTGATGTGTAAAACAAATTTAAATACTTAACTTTTTGTTAAATTTAGAAAAATTACACATACAGGATGAAAAAAATTAGATGGGAGAAGATTACTTAAAATTAATTAATGTAATTGTTTATATTTTTCTATGCATGACCACACTCGATGAAAATGGTGGGTGGATGCTATTGTTTCTATTTGTTAATCTCTTCGTAACAACTACTATATAAGTATGGTTCCAATTACTTGCTATATTAAGCAGAAGAAGAAAGTAATACTCTTACTATATTTCTCAATTTGTTAGAAAAAAAAAAAACTACTTTTCGTGACTCATGAAGCTGTGATATGAACAGTTTGTCAAATTAGCGTGTCAGTAAACTGTAACTGAGTGTCAGTAAACTGTAATTGCTGAAGCCTTTGTTTACAAAAAAAAATAGAATGATTCGATATGGTGAAAAAGTTTTTTTTTTTTTTTTTTTTTTCCAAAAAAAAAAAAAAAAGATATGGTGAAAAAGTTAATATGAGTAAAAAAACTAGTTAAAGCAATTTGCATAGAACGCTCTCTCTCTATATAAACACATATTCATCGAGAGGGGGTTGTAATCAAACTCTCAAACACATATACTTAATATTCTTATCTTAAGAAAGAGAGAATGTCAGAGCAAAAAACTGGGAAGCTTGACATAGGATCTCAGGCAGACGACTTCATCAAATATTTTATGAGAGAGAAAACTCATGTTTCATTCTTTTATGATGCTGGTAAATGATAAACTCTTCCAGCTTTCATTTTATATTTTTTGATCATCAATTAATTGCTATTTTTGTTTTACTGTAGAGGAATTGAGGTTTGAAATCCAATCGGAGGATGTTGTCCATGTGGAGAAAAGAGAAGTTACCATGAGCATACTTGGGACCCTAATTTCAAAAAGCTACAACATGGTCGAAGCAACATTCACCGTTACTCCTAGGAAGGAAGACATTACAAAAAGCTGCGTGGAGTACACCTTCGAGTTCGACGAAAAGATTAACAATTGCACCGAAGAAACAGAGATCGTCGAATCTCTACTCACGTACATCTTAATAAGCGATGGCAATAACACTAACGGTGATGATTTTAGGTACAACTCCTTTGTCGCTGGGTATCCGGCGACAGAATGCTTTAAACGTTACCTCAACGAATTTCGCGATGATGGTAAACTTTTCTACTTCGTTTACTTCGTATTTATTTATATATATTCACACCCTAACTTTTTTTATGTTCACCGAAAGATGACGTGAGCCTGGTGGAAGTGAATTCGCGGCCGAAAAGAATATTTACTGTGGCTTTCAATGACGCTCCTAATTTGGTGGTGCATATGGACGATGAAGATGAAAGTCTTTTCCAGAGTATCGAAGTAACCATCACTATTACTCCTATGAAAGATGATAACAGACGTAGCCATGTGAATTGGACTATCAAGGTCCAGAAGTCTGAAGATCGAGAGGGAGTATCACGCCTCTTTCTCGAAACAGCCGATCATATCCGTGAGACTATTATCCTTGCAATTAAGACTCTTGAATAAATTTTACTAATCGAAAGGATCATATCTACATATAGGACCGTCTAAATAAAGTGGCTCGTATATCTATTTACATGTCTATGTTGCATGAATTTCTTATACCAGTTGGTATTTGGGGATGTATGGACCTCGTATGCTCGATGAACAATAATATATCGATATTTGCATATTACTGTTGGATGGACCAATGATCATAATACATCAAAAAGCTCATTTAATATATCGATTTGCATATTGGTGTTGGACTGCTGTTGGTTTATCATTGAGCGAAAGTATAAGAATCGAGAATCTTTAGATACATCAGAAAAAAAAAAATGAAATGCAGATACAAGCAAAATCCCATATACTGGCGAATTAAATTATATATAGTTTTTAACCGAAGAAACATTGATAATTGGAGTCGTTAGAAAAAAAAAAGACACTGATAATTGGTAGTAGCTATCAGGAAAATTGGACCCAGTAGCTAAGAAAAAAAACAAAATTAAGAATCTAACCAAAACCCCCTTCTCTCTCCTATTACCTCTTCCTATCTCTCTCTACTCTCTGTCTACAAATCTAATTTTCTTTTCTTTTGTGGCTATTTGGCCAATAAGCCCGTAGCTATCATCCGTAACTTTTTTTCTTGACAAATAAATTCAAAGTTAAGCAATCGATATTTAATTAGTAACAACACTTAACTATAATTTGTTATTACTAAATGTATGAAATGGTGTTCAAGGCATTGGATTCGTCTATTATTTAAATTACGATTTGTAAGTTGAGTAACGTGATAAGTTACTGATCTATTTTCGTTAATACAATTTAAAAAAAAAAAAACTAATTTACTATATCGATTTGTATGTTATTGTTGGACTGGTGGTTCATCAGTTCATTGACCAAAAACAAAAGCAAAAGAATCGAGAATCTTAGATACATCAGAAAAAAATTGAATGGCAGATACAAGCTAGTTCCCATATACTGGAAAACTAGATTATTATATGATTTTTAACCGAGTAGACATTGATTCTAACTACTAGTAACTGTCATCAGTAATTTTGTCTTCAAAAATTAACAAATAAATTAAAAGTTAAGTAACAGATATTTAATTAGTAAGAAGACTTAATTAAATATAAAATGTTATTTTAATGTGTAAAAAAATTTAAATTCTAAACGTTTTGTTAAATTTAGAAAAATTACACATACAGGATGAAGGACTTAGATGGGTGAAGATTACTAGAAATTAATTAATGTAATTGTTTATAATTTTTTTATGCATAACCACATTCATTGAAGATGGTGGGTGGATGTTATTGTTTCTATTTGTTAATCTTTTTGTAACAACTATTAAGTATAGTTTCAATTACTTGCTATATTAAGCAGAAGAAAAAAGTAACACTCTTCCTATATTTCTCAATTTGTAGGAAATAACTACTTTTCGTGACTCATGAAGCTGTGATATGAACACAACTGTATATATGTTTTAATTATATTTTATGGTACATAAATTTATAAATTAACAAAAAAAATTATTGATTATTTTTTTGCTTACAAGTTTAAAACAAATATATTCTTAAACAATATATTATATCTTTTAAACCAAAAACATTTATAATTTTTAATATATATATATATATATATATATATATATATATATATATATGTGTGTGTGTGTGTGTGTGTGTGTGTGTATGTGTGTGTGTGTGTGATGTGGGTGTAAATTCAAATGGAAAAAATTAAATTACGTCCCACTTTTACTTTCATCTAACAAAATTTTGAAAATGTAGATTTAAGATTATAGTTTTTTAATAATACTACTGAGTCAGACACTAATCAAAAATCTAATAATGACACTTCAACAAGATCCATATATCAAAATGTATCATACTTGTCAAAATTAAAAAGATCACAAAAATAAGTGATAGAACTAGTGAGAGTTACACCTTTAACCATTTTCACAATTTCACTTCAAATTCTTCTTGATAGAATGCTTTAAATGTGTATGCAAATATATAAAGATTTGTTTTCAAAAAATAGAATTAATGTTAATTATCGCCCACAAAAATCCCTATAGACTAGTTGGAAGGAACAAAAAAAGTAGAAATTTGACGACCTGTTGGTGTCAAAAAGTAATCTCAAAATCAACGTCTACGATAACTTCTGAAAAAAATGGAATCATTACTTTCCGCAAAAATCATTTATTAAAACTCGAGAATCTTTTTATAAAACGATTAGGACCGTTTTATAAAACTCGAAAATCGTTTTATAAAACTCGAGAAGCCGTTTTATAAAACTCGAAGATCGTTTTATAAAACTCGAAGATCGTTTTATAAAACTCGAAAATCGTTTTATAAAACTCGAAGATCGTTTTATAAAACGAGAATATCGTTTTATAAAACTCGAGAAGCCGTTTTATAAAACTCAAAGATCGTTTTATAAAACTCGAAGATCGTTTTATAAAACTCGAGAAGACGTTTTATAAAACTCGAAGATCATTTTATAAAACTCGAAGATCGTTTTATAAAACTTGAGAAGCCGTTTTATAAAACGCGAAGATCATTTTATAAAACTTGAGAAGCCGTTGTATAGAACTCGAAGATCGTCTTATAAAAACTCGAAGAACCGTTTTATAAAATTCGCGAATCGTTTTACAAAACCGCAAAAAAACCGAAACCGCCGCAAAACGCGAACTAGTCACGACTAGTTCGCCTGCTGGCGAACTAAGCCGAGGTGGCTTAGTTCGCCAGCAGGCGAACTAGGAGCCTCTCCACTAGCTCGCCTGCTGGCGAATTAAGCCGGCCCGGCTTAGTTCGCCAGCAGGCGAACTAGGAGCCCTCGACTAGTTCGCCTGTTGGCGAACTAAGCCGGCGAACTAGAAACTCCTCGGACGGCTGGACCGGACTAGCTCGATTCTCCGTACGCCGAACCGATCATCCCGAGCCTCGATCTCCCGCATCCCCGATTCGAAACTTACGCCCTTCGACATGGTCGCATTCTGAACCACTGCCGAAATGTCTCTCGTTTCGTCTCGACCTGACTTACCGTTCGAGTTTTACGATAAAAACCGTAAAACTCGGTTCTCTCTAAAAGAACTCGAAGAAATCGTATAAAACGGAAACGGTTAAGCAAGACACCGAACATCGCCTAAACTATACGATTTATCCGAGACTTTTCGATAAGATCTTAAAAAACGTGTTTTTAATAAAAACGTCGAGAAAATCGTCAAAAACGGCATCGGATCAGGAAACGATCTCGTATAAAATCGAAAAACGGTTTTTATCATAAAACGGCCCGAAAGGTCATAAAACACGATAAAAACTCATTTCGCGATATTAACGAAATAAAACCCGAAGATACAATAGTGTTTTGACGGTTTACTCGCAGAAGGGAAATAAAAGGCATGTTTGAAGATAGATAGAAGATTTCTGCGGGAAGAAAGGAAGGAAGGAGATAAAAGGAAATTTCTCGATAAACTCGAATCCGAGCAAAATGGAAAGATTGAGCCGCTTGGGAAAGGAGTATATAAGTCAGAAGCATAGGGAAGAAGAGGGGGACAAAAATAAAACCTAAAAAGACGGCTGTTAGCTTAGGAATTTAGGATTTAGCGTTTAGACTAGCAATCCAGATCTTTAGAACGTCTCGACGTCTAAGTTCTTCAATTCTTCTTGTAACAGTTGTCGATTTCTTATTTAATAAAAGCTTTCATACAAGTTCTTTATTTTCATTGTTCATCCATATTCTGTTAGATTCGTTTGTTTTAGTGATTTCCGCAGAGTTCTAGGACCTCGGGAAAATTAGGGTTCATCCTAAGTTTCCATATTTGACGGAAAATCGACAGTGTGGATTTCGGTTCCCACACGACCATATATTTTCCATTAGTTTCTATAATTATTATTTATATTTATTTAATTTTCACATACATGATGAAAAAATTAGATGGGTGAAGATTACTTAAAAGTAATTAATGTAATTATTTATAATTTTCTATGCATTACCACATTCGTTGAGAGTGGTGGGTGGGTTTATTGTTTTTATTTGTTAATTAATCTTTTCGTAACAACTATTCAATATGGTTCCAATTACTTACTATGTTAAGCAGAAGAAAAAAGTTAACACTCTTCCTATATCTTTTTCAGCTTAATTTGCATATTAATTTATTATATCGATTTGCATATTATTGTTGGACTAACAATTTATCAATTTACTAATCGAAAGGATCATCTACATATAGGACCGTCTAAATAAAGTGGCTCGTATATCTATTTACATGTCTATGTTGCATGAATTTCTTATACCTGTTGGTATTTGGGGATGTATGGACCTTGTATGCTCGATGAATAATAATATATCGATATTTGCATATTACTGTTGGATGGACCAATGATCAGAATACATCAAAAAGCTCATTTAATATATCGATTTGTATATTGGTGTTGGACTGCTGTTGGTTTATCATTGAGCGAAAGTATAAGAATCGAGAATCTTTAGATACATCAGAAAAAAAAAAATGAAATGCAGATACAAGCAAAATTTATGAGAATTTCCTCTTAATATTTTTACTACATTTTTGATCAATTAATAAGAAACATTCAGTCTATTTGATTACATATATATACAGAATAAAGTTTAGATGAATAAAGAAACTAATTTAAAACCCAAAAAAATTAGTAATTTATCAAGTTTTGTACTGATTAAATATTAATTTATGAATGTAACTGTATATATGTTTTAATTACATTATATAGTAAATAATTTATAAATTAAGAAAAAAAAATTGATTATTTTTATGTTTACAAGTTTAAAATATATTCTTAAACAATATATTAAATCTTTTAAACCAAGAATAGTTATAATTTATAATATATATATATATATATATATATATATGTAAATTCAAATGGCAAAAAATAAATCATGTCCCAATTTTGCCTTCATCTAACAAAATTTTGAAAAGGTAGATTTAAGATTACGTTTTTTCTTTAATAATACTATTGAGTCTAACACTAATCAAAATCTAATAATGACATTTCAACAAAATCCATATATCAAAATGTATCAGACCTGTCAAAATTAAAAAGATCACCAAATAAGTGATAGATCTAGTGGGAGTTATACCTTTAACCATTTTCACTTCAGATTCTTCTTGATAGAATGCTTTAAATATGTATACAAAATATATAAAGATTTTTTTGTTCAAAAAAAAATATATATATATATAAAGATATGTTTTATAAAAATAGAATAAATTTTAATTATTGCCCACAAAAATCTTTATAGACTAGTTGGAAGGAACAAAAAAATAGAAATTTAACGACCATATATTTTCCATTAGTTTCTATAATTATTATTTATATTTCTTTAATTTTCATATACATGATGAAAAACTTAGATGGGTGAAGATTACTTAAAATTAATTAATGTAATTGTTTATAAATTTCAATGCACTACATTAGTTGAGAATGGTGGGTGGATGTTATTGTTTTTATTTGTTAATCTTTTCGTAACAACTATTAAATATGGTTCCAATTACTTACTATGTTAAGCAGAAGAAAAAAGTTAACACTCTTCCTAAATCTTTTTCAGCTTAATTTGCATATAAATTTATTATATTGATTTGCATATTATTGTTGGACTAATAATTTATCATTGACCAAAAACAAAACCAAAAGTAAAAGAATCGAGAATCTTCCATACGTCAGAAAAAAATTGAATGGCAAATAGAAGCTATTCTCGTAATATACTGGCAAACTAAATTATATATAGTTTGTAACTAAACAGACATGATAACTACTAGTAGGAGTAGCTATCATCAGTATTTTTTTTTCTTGAAAGATTAACAAATAAATTTAATTTAATTAATAAAAAAAAGAGTACTTAATTAAATGTAAATTTTTATTTTGATGTGTAAAACAAATTTAAATGCTTAAATTTTTGTTAAATTTAGAAAAATTACACATACAGGATAAAAAAAATAGATGGGAGAAGATTATTTAAACTTAATTAATGTAATTGTTTATATTTTTCTATGCATGACCACATTCGATGAAAATGGTGGGTGGATGTTATTGTTTCTATTTTAATGTGTAAAACAAATTTAAATTCTTAACTTTTTGTTAAATTTAGAAAAATTACACATACAGGATGAAGGACTCAAGAAGGGTGAAGATTACTAGAAATTAATTAATGTAATTGTTTATAATTTTTTATGCATAACCACATTCATTGAAGATGGTGGGTGGATGTTATTGTTTCTATTTGTTAATCTTTTTGTAACAACTATTAAGTATAGTTTCAATTACTTGCTATATTAAGCAGAAGAAAAAAGTAACACTCTTCCTATATTTCTCAGTTTGTAGGAAATAACTACTTTTCGTGACTCATGAAGCTGTGATATGAACAATATGTCAAATTAGCGTGTTTTCATATTGAAAGCGTTTGTTAACTGAGTGTGAGTAAATTGTAACTGCTGAAGCTTTTGTTTCCAAATAAAGAAGGATTCTATATGGTGAAAAAAGTTAAGATGAGTAAAAAAAACTAGTTGAAGCAATTTGCATAGAACGCCCTCTCTATATAAACACATATTCATTGAGAGAGAGTTGTAATCAAACTCACAACACATATAACTTAATATATATTTTTCTTAAGAAAGAGAGAATGTTAACGCACAAATCTGGAAAGTGTTACTTAGGTTCTCAGGCAGACGACTTCATCAAATATTTTATCAAAAAGAAAACTCATGTTTCATTCTTTTATGATGCTGGTAAATGATAAACTCATCCAACTTTCATTTTATATTATCTTGATCATCAATTAATTGCTATGTTTTGACTGTAGAGGAATTGAGGTTCGAAATCCAGTCGGAGGATGTGGTCCATGTGGAGAAAAGAGAAGTTACCATGAGCATACTTGGGACCCTAATTTCAAAAGGCTACAAAACGGTTAGAGTAAGATTCACCGTCACTCCTAGGAAGGAAGACATTACAAAAAGCTGCTTGGAGTACACCTTCGAGTTCGACAAAAAGATTAACAAGGAAAACAATTACAGCGGAAAAACAAAGATCGTCGAATCTCTACTCACGTACATCGTTATAAGCGATAGCAACAATAGGAGGAGTGATGATAATTTTGAGTACAACTCCATTTACGTTGGGTATCCGGCGGAAGAATGCTTTAAACGTTACGTCAAAGCATTTGAAGAAAATGGTAAACTTTTCTACTTCATATTTATTTATATATTCGCAACCTAACCTTTTTTTTTTTTTTTATGTTCACCAAAAGTTGACGTGAACGTGGAGGATGTGAAATCGAAGAATAGGAAATTTACGATGAGTTTCAATGACGCTCCTAACTTGCGGGATCCTTACAGCGGTGATGTAGGTGTTTTCGAGAGGGTGGAAGTAACCATCACTATTACTCCTAAAAAACATGATAACATCAGTAGCCGCGTGGAATGGACCATGAAGGTCGACAAGGTTGATGATACCGCTAAATTAGAACCAACGTACTTTCTCATGACAGCCGAGCTTATCCGTGAGACTATTATGCGTGCAATTAATTAAGACTCTTGAATAAATTTTACTAATCGAAAGGTTCATATCTACATATAGGACCGTCTAAATAAAGTGGCTCGTATAGCTATTTATATGTCTATGTTGCATGAATTTCTTATCGTAGTTGGTATTTGGGGATGTATGGACCACCTCGTATGCTCGATGAATAATATATTGATATTTGCATATTATTGTTGGACGGAACAGTGATTTTAATACATCAACAAGGCTATTTTAATATATCGATTTACATGTTATTGTTGGACTGTTGGTTTACCATTGACCGAAAAACAAAAGCAAAAGTATAAGAATCCAGAATCTTAGATACATCAGAAAAAAATTTGAAATCGGATACAAGTAAGTTCCCATAGACATGAAAAGTAAGTTATACTATATAATTTTTTTAACCGAAGAGACATTGCTCCATTCGACACAAACTTACCTTAGATCATCTGAAAACTACAACTCATTCCTCCATTCGTCTTTAGGACAGTCTCGAGCGCGAGCGTTGCTCGTGTCGAACTCCACTTGTTTGATTTTGGAAGTGAATCTAGCTTTCGTGGGGAGGAAGATGTGACTCGTGGGTTCGAGCCTTCTCTCGAGCGAAGGTCTACACCGAAGGACAATCAAGCGAGGCACCAGTGAAGCAAACGAAAACGAGACAAAGAGAGGGGAGAGAGCACACTGGAGCACCACAAAGTTTGATTGGACTTGAGAGAGAAGTGAGGAGAGAGAAACGACTTTTACAAAGTTCGATCCGAGCAATATTTGGTATTAAGTAGATATAATGTTAACTTAGAATATTAAACCTTTTAGAATAGAAATAGACAGTGGGTTAGACGAATCACAATTATCAAAGTATGGAATCGGTTTAGTCTTTGAATTATTAATCTGTTTTCACTTAGAAAATACATTGAATTATTCATAAGGCTTCAAATATTACTACATCTCTTGTTGGATAATTTAAAACTAGATGGTGACCTATACCTTGTGCGGATTTATATATACTCTCTATGTTTCACGAATATTATAGTTTTAAATTTATTACACATTTTAATAATAAATTTACAATACCAAAATAATTCTACTTTAATACATAATTTATAAATAAATTTTTTTGTATGTAATAATATTTTTAATTAATATGACAAAATGAGTAAAAGTGTATAAAATTATATTATCTTTGTGATACAAATAAAAATCTAGAAACTACGATATAGTTGGTTAATATTTAAAATATATTATATTAGCATAACTATACAACTTACATTTTATTACATATATTTTCAATAGTACTTTGAATTTAATCTTAACTTCAATTTGTAACTACAAGAAAACAATTTAGGGAATTATGGTAATATAGAACAAAAAAGCAGGTCTCATGTCCCCTTAGTATAAAATATTTTTTGGCCATTTTTTTTCCCTTTTACCCTTTCCATTTATAAAAATTAATCAAATAAATAGTTTTATGACTCGAAAAAATATTTAAAAATACACAGAAGTGATTAAATGTCTATATACACAAACTGATATTTTTTTTATTTTCAAAATTTTGGTAAATTAAAAATTTTATTTACGTTCTACGGAGAGTAGAATTCACATTCTACGAAAAATCGCATAGTAGAACACATATTCCACGTAAACCAATTATCTCTACAGTTTTTAGAACACATATTCTACGTTTTTAAAGACTTCTACAAACATACTGAATGTAGGTTCTACGTTTATATCCACTGTAACGAATGTCAGAATACGATATCTACTTAAAACGCAGATGTCTACATATAGTAGAATGTGCTTCTCGAAACATGTTTGTGTTTCTACGCTGTGTAGAAGGTACCTTCTACGGATAAAACTAAACAAAATTCCGAAAATTTGGGAAAAAATGTAGGAAAATATTCAAAAAGATTTGTCCATAACTCCACCTTTCTTATGTGTGTGAAACGAATTTTGACGCAAAAAAAACCAAAAAAAAACCATAGCTTCTTCAACCCTCTTAACCTAGCCTCCCTCCATTGTTTTTCTTTTGATTTTCACAAATTTTCTTGTACCATGCACATCTATACTACTTGCGGTGTATGGGAAGTAGGTGCTACGGGGTGGGTGTTTTGGGCTGATGACAGAGGGGGAAGGTTACAATTATTGGAAGCAAATTCTACCTTAGAGGATTTAAAGAGAATGGTGTTGGAGGATTATGATATGGAAGAAGATATGTTAGCCGATATGGAACTGAGTGATTTACCTGCTGGGTTGATCAATACATAAACATCTCCACCAGTGTTCATTGCAAATGATCGTCAGCTTAAGAATTTTGTTGGTTTTGTTGAAAAGAACCCCTCGACTGGATTATGTGTAACATATAAAGCAAAGGCTGAGAATCCGAATGAAGCAGACTTCGATCTTAACAAGTCGCCAATAGATTCAATATCTACTGAAGAGGAGGTAAACACAGCTGATGTTCATCTAGAGACACAAAGCAATAAGAAGAAACTTAAGATGAAACAAGTCGACTCTGATGAGGATGACTCTGAAGAGGATGACTATGATGCTTATACCATGAACTCTGAGAAAGAGAAGCAACACAAACAGGACAAGTATTCTTTGCTCGATGTTGTTNCACAGCTGATGTTCATCTAGAGACACAAAGCAATAAGAAGAAACTTAAGATGAAACAAGTCGACTCTGATGAGGATGACTCTGAAGAGGATGACTATGATGCTTATACCATGAACTCTGAGAAAGAGAAGCAACACAAACAGGACAAGTATTCTTTGCTCGATGTTGTTAAGAAGGGACAACTTTTTCAGAACAAAACGCTGCTGAAGGCAACTTTCGAGATATGTGCAATGAAGCATAGCTTTGACTATAAGGTAATAAAATCGGATAGGCAAGTTTGGTATGTTAGATGCGGAGAAAATGGTTGCAATTGGAGTGTTCGAGCTGAGAGTTTGAAGGAATCTGCATATTTCACTATAAAAAAGTATGTTGGTGAACATACATGTGCACCTTCAAGCAAAAACAATGGGGGTAGGACTACTTCAGCGAAAACTATAGGCAATCTGGTTATGCATAAGTATGAAGGCGTGAAGGAAGGGCCAAAGACAAATGATATCATTAAGATTATGCTTCAGGATCATGGATGTGAGATCTATAGTTCTTTAGCATATGATGCACGTGAATATGCGGTCAATGCAGTTAGAGGTATCACAGAGAGAATCTATGGGAAAATACCAAAATACTTGCATGCTTATAGAGGCTAATCCAGGTACACATTCAGCTTATGAGATTGACAATAATTCCTTTGTTGGACAGTATCAGAGAAATGTTGACACGGTGGTTTTATAAGCGTAAGAAACTGATTTCAAAGCATAAACATGGTCTGACCAAATATGTTGAGAAAAAGATTGAGAGGAGAACAAGGAAAGGCCGAACATTTGCATTTTACCCTGTCACCGAAGGTCGATTGCTTGTTAGAGGTGATATATTTGACTGCTTAGTTGATTTGGATAGACGGAGTTGTTCATGCGGGAAGTACGACCTGATGAAGATCCCTTGTAGGCACGCAATTAAAGCTGGTTTTCATGTTGGCAGAGATCCACACACATTGACTGATTTGATGTACACGACAGGAGCTTGGAGAGAAGCTTATCAGGAAAGCATAANTTTGGATAGACGGAGTTGTTCATGCGGGAAGTACGACCTGATGAAGATCCCTTGTAGGCACGCAATTAAAGCTGGTTTTCATGTTGGCAGAGATCCACACACATTGACTGATTTGATGTACACGACAGGAGCTTGGAGAGAAGCTTATCAGGAAAGCATAAATCCTATTGCTGTTCCTGAGGATGCTTGGTCCATACCATAAGATGTTAAGGCGATCAATGTGCTACCACCGGACACAAGAAAAGCAGCTGGAAGGACAAGAAAACGCAGATATGAACCCGCTGAAGATAAAATTCGGTCCTCGCAAACATCAGAAGAGAAGCAGCCTCGAAATTGTAGTAGATGTTGCATTAGTGGGCACAACAGGGAAACTTGTAGAGTACCAATATAGTCTTCCACAAGAGAAGCAGCTTTTCGTTTAATGATCTGGTTTTTGCTTCTTTGTTTTGAATTCTCGGTTTTACATTTTTATGTTCAAGGAATAATGTTTTCTGCTTCTATGTTTTGAACTTCTCGGCTTGTTAGTTTCATTCTGATACATTACAATCATGTTTATCATACTAAAAGCATAACATAAGAGAATAAAACAGAACACAAAGAACCACGGAAATCGACATATTCAGTGTAATCATCATATTAAGTGTGAGAAGAAAACTCAAAAACCACAAATTCGTTTAGAGAAACAATAAACTGATTCATTCCTGGCATCCCAATCTACCAAACAGCTATAAAATGCTTCCTAAACAACCTAACTCAAGTGAATTCTTCTGCTTCTTAACTTCTTTTTCAACTGTACTTTGCAAACTCTTTTTGAGATCTTCAATCTCTTGTGTAATTTCCAATTGCTGAGCATCTAGCCTTCGAATCTCATCAAGCAAAGCTTCATCAACCCACTTAAATAAATGATTTTCCTTCTTCCGCTACATTCAAACAAAGTTCAAGTTAGTACATCAGAATGAATTTCAGTGATCAGATCGAAAATCAAATCTGATTTTCGCTGCATCATATCGCAAATTTTTCCGAAAAACATCAAAGATACTAAAAAATCATACACAAGACAATAGAGGATACGAAGACAGTATAAATGGGGATTTGAATAAAAAAAACAATTTGAAACGAAACCTGTGCTCCTATTTTGCATCTATAAAACCGCCGCAACGAATTCTCATCCGTTCTGGAATAGAATATCACAACCCCTCTCCCACACCAGAATCTTGACGGCACTCCCTGCGACAATCGCCTTGTGTTACTCATGATTGGAAAAGACGGTTTCAGAAAGAAAAGAGGCGGAAAGAAGATTAGAAGAAAAAAAAAAGGAAAAAAACGGGTTTGATTGTTATATATGTCAGGTTGAATTAGGTCACTTGTGGATCTAGTTTGGGTGGGTTTCGTTGGCTGTTGGATCCTATGTCGGGTTTAGTTCTTAGGTTGGTAAAATATTCTAATAACTCAAAAAGTTTAGTAAGAGTACTCTAAGGTATGATGTTCATTACAAATTGAATAGATTTTCCAACATATGACTGATATAATCTAATCTAAGAACACCCACACACATGTATATTCATTGTTTTACCTTATGTTATCATTTAGAGTTATGGTTTCGTTTAGAGTATGTTTAGGGTTTCGTTTAGAGTATGTTTAGCGTTTCGTTTAGGGTGTTTAGGGTTTCGTTTAGGGTGTGTTTATGGTTTCATTTAGGGTGTGTTTAGGGTTTCGTTTAGGGTGTGTTTAGGGTTTCGTTTAGGGTTTCGTTTAGGGTTTCGTTAGGGTTTTGTTTAAATCCTGCTTAGACAGAATCACATAAAACATAAATATATGTTCCTTTAATAACCAGAATCAGACATCAGCAATCCTTAAAAACCATAACTGCTCCTTACATCAAAAATCAGAATCCTTAAAAACCATAATTGAAAACCTAACAACTAGAAAGTAAATTAAAATTACATTATATCCCCCAAATGCGCCACACATGTGAGGACGAG